GAAGTAGCAACATGAATTGTTAAACGCTAGAGGATGAAGGACCAATTTTTCGATCATGTTTGAAAATTTCACTTTATATAGGAAATGTAAAAAGTGTTGCTAAACTAGTCGCAAAACTTCTAGTAAACTAGTAGCTACAGTAATTAAGGTTGAAAGATGAATTAAGACACCTGATGCTTGAATCAAGTTTGATTGTGAATGCGAACTCGTTTGAATTTGATTTAGCAACTAATCAAACCAAAATATAAGTAATATTTTGAGTTTATAAATTGGTGGAACTGAGTTAGACCTTGAGTCGTTAGCATGATACTAAATTTTACTTACTTAAGTTTGATTTGAACTCAGCATTATTAAAGCTCATTTCAGTTCGACAAGTCAAATTTAAACACAAATTAAAACTCTTTAAAATAGTCAAACAACATTAAACATTTATAAGAAGTATGTTTTGTTCAACCTTTTCACACCCCACGAATAATTATAAAAGTGAACGACCATTTCTAGTAGCTGAATGCGTAAGTAATCAAAGTCAACTAAATCAACTAAAGATGCCGAGTGTATGGACTTGTACAAACTTGACCTCGAGATGACCTAAAAGTCATAACGTACTTGCATGGTACAATACATTCTTTCCCAATAGAAGAGGAAAATAGTCATAATCATGCGGGATATTCCCTATAAAATATCTAATGGTTGCAAGAATAAAATAATGTAGTTTGAAAGTAGTTTTTGGCTTTTAGTATAAACAGAAATATATTTTCAATTTCTAAAACAACTTTTTTAAGGTTGCTTGACCAACTTAAACAACAATTAAAAAGTAGGAGCAAATTAGAACTATCCTATAGTTTTTCTCCAACACCAAGTAGTCATTGTAACTTGAACCCTAAACTCTGAGTCAGGAGAATAAAGAAAGTAAAATAAGAAAAGAAAAACCTTAAAGATTAAAATCCAAGATACTGCTTGAAAGAAGTCCTTTTGACTTTGTAAATATGCCTCATATTATATCCTCAAAAGGCTAGCGCGTCCTGTTTATCCTTTTCCTTGTCTTATTTATTCTGATCATGCAACTCAAATAAGGGTTCTATAACAAGGCTAATATAAATGTAGTAGTAATATTTCGACAGTCAAGTATTTAGTTATACTTTGTTGAAAAAAAAGTATTTAGTTATACAATTGATTTTGTTTATACTATTGGCGTAAATAATTTTTCACGTAAGTAATTTGGATGCATGACGTGTAACTTCTAATAAATTTTGAACTTAGGTATTTTCACGTAAATACGAGCATTCAGATCCGTTAGTATTAGGAAATATTACGTTGACAGTGTACGGAATATTAATCTTTAATTATTTATCAAAACAAAATAACAGCCACATAGTAAGAGTGATTTTATTTTAAAATAAAAGGACCTGCAGCATGAATCTTCTTTGTGATAAAATAGACCTCCTAATAATGTTAACATATTTCGTAGTGATATTTAGGTGACTGCAGAATATTACCTCCATATTGAGAGATATTTTCGGTTTTTCTTTTTTTTTTTTCCCTTTAAGTGTAAACTTAAAATCAAATATGACCAACTCAACTCTTTCAAGTAATCAAATTGTGACCCGGCTGGTACTAATTAATATGGACTTTCTAGAGACATGGTGGGGATTACTTGGAATGTTGACCTAAAATTATTTACTTTTTGGCTTTCTTTCGAGGAGAAATAGGCCATTTTGATACACGGAAGTTCCAAGTCAATTTTGTTATAATAAACACTATACTATAAGTTACTAACCCCTTTGATCTGTGGTATGCATAGTGGTTAAATTTATCATTTCGACAAAAAGGCTCACGCCTCAAAATTCATGTTATAGTCACTAAACAAATAACTATATACACACACATGTATATATTTATGAACCTCAAAACACTTTGCATATATTCAATTTGATATGACTTCAAAGAAATATAAAACCCTTTTATAGAAAATTTAAAATTTTTTTTGTGACCACATTTATAATCATTTTTTTACCTTACATACATCAAATCGTTATAATATTATTTTTTTTCTTACAGAAAATCTGGAAAATACCAATCCGAACGGGACCTTGAACCTATTTATGCATCACTCACTCAGCTTCTTGTTGGAAATATCCTTGTAAGGTCTAAGGTCCAATTACACATTTTTTCGTTGCGCTTTGGGTTTTTTTTTTTTTTCGGTTGGTTTTTTGTCCTATTATTGCATTTTGTTACAATTGTTTGGTATAATGGACATGACAGGATTGTCTACCTCTGCCCGCTTGGTATGGACAAGTGCTTGAACCAGACTTGGACAACTAAATTTGATGTACTCCCGTAGAGAATGCCAAAACCCCGTTGTCAAATTTCAAGCTTAGCCCACAAAAGAGGATTAACTTCACTTGATTGCTTCCATCGAAGCCCAATCGTGGACGCTGCCTTTGGTTTGATGAAACCTCAAGGCTATGAATGACAACGTGGCAGATGCTTTTTGCCAAACATTCCTCTAGCCCTCGCCCCGCCCCGCCCCATACCCCGCACCCGCTTCTCCAGTCTTGCCGCCACCCAATCCTACTTTTCTTGTGGGGGCTAATAGAAATTTGTCATGTAACGAAATTTCAGCCAAATTTCAATCAACAATCAAGTATTTTAAACATCAACATATCACCGAGTTATTGCTAACACATAATCCATTATAATTTCACAATAGTTAAGCCATAAAAATAAATAAACGGATACTGTTTGAATACAATTCAACATAACGAAACAAATACAACTCAAGTAGTCAAAAGTAAAAGTGTAATTAGTCGTGAATTGTGAATTAGGGAAAATATGAAGAGCTGAAGAGGAGTGAAATTAGGGTTAGTCGTGAATTGTCAATTGTGAAATATTTAGTGTAAAAGAACAAAAGTGTAATTAATAATTTAGTATAAATGTATTAGTATAACTAATCATTATTTTGTATTAGGATAAATAAATAATTATTACTATAACTAATAATATTAGTTATATTACATATACATAATTTGATACTTATAACTAATAATATTATATATAACTAATAATATTAAATATATTATATATACATAATTATAACTTATATTTAATTTTTTAGGAAGGTAATAGTTTTAACGATGAGAGAAAATGATCTCTCGCCCTGCCTCATCAACAACCTGCAGAGGCACCCGTCTCAATTGCCGTTCCTACTCAAGGCCTTGAACATTTTCTAAGCGTTGAGTGCAGCCCTTCAATTTTGGTTTAAAATGTTCATATCATTTTCTTTAATTTTTTATATGACTAACATTTAAATTCCTATCTAAACTTTTTTTTGAGCCAAATAATTAATACGTTAATAATATTCAAATTTTAAACGGGCTCTTCATTTTAGATTAGTGAAACATTTTGTGATGTGTAATGAACAAGATAGAGGTTATTGATAGATTAAACTAATGTGTTTCTAAGGTTATTATCACGAATCACATGGCATTTGACAATATAAATTTGGAATTTTCTAACACCAAATCCTTATAAATTTCTACTATTTATGTTTTGCTATTTTTAACCCCACATAAAATTCTTTATTTTTATTCAAAATTATTCCTAATTTTGAGGCATTAACTAATTGTACCTTCATATTTATCAATACACACGTTCATTAGATGTAAAAATAAAATGTAAATTTAATTTTTTAAATTTACTTTTAGACAAATAAAGTGTCTATTCAATTTTCATGAATTGGTTTTTATGAACTAGGATGTGATCAAAATTTTGTACATGGGAATTCTACTAACACTACATACATAATGACCAAAGATGATTTTTACATTAGTCAAACAAATTTTCCCAACAAATAGTGACATGGAAAGTAAGATCTTTTCTTTTCTTTTCTTTAACCACTCATCGAAAAGGTAACAATAAAAAGCTTAATAATCTCTTTCACAAGGATTCAACATTCTGAAACATCAACAATTTACAAAGGGGCGAAAGAATTTCCCTATTTGCTTATTTTGTACTTGGTCTTGTAATTTTTTTTTTGCTTCAATTTCATCAAAAACTTCTTTTCTAACTGATTATTTAGTGAAATAAGGAGTTATTGCATGAAATTTGAAATTGTCTATGTTCGATTCGAGAGTGAGAGAGAGAGAGAGAGAGAGAGAACTAACATGTCAGTCAAAAGAAAGAAGAGTGCTTCTCTTCCTTTCCATGTACCGAGCAATTGACTTATAGAACTCTCTCTTATCAACCCAAGTTAAGGATGTAAAGTACTCTTATAACAAAACACTAAGAAATTGGACACTTATTAAAATATATTTCAAACAAAAAAAAACACTCATTGAAATATATTTCAAGCAAAAAAAAAAAAAAAACACTGAATTGGGTGACCTCTTGCCTATTTTCCAAATTGGCAAAGGGTAGGTTGGGAGCTGGTTACGAGAGCTGATTTTTGAAAACAGAAAAAATGTATAAACATAAGAAAAGGTAATAATTATTAGACATGTACATATTACATATAAGTTAGGTGGAATTTAGATTTGTAACAAATGCCCAATAGATTTAATATACCCATTAGAAAAACCCTTAAACTATTTATCTCATATATTTTTTAATATACATAAAGCAAAGGATTTAATGGATCTAATTAACCTACAAATAAGTACATGATTAAAATGGAAGTTTCATGGAACATGATTAAGATTGAGTACTTTTGCCTTGAATCTAGGCTAAGATAATATTTCTGACGGTACGAGGGTCTAAGCTAAGGTAATATTACTATTGGAGGTGTACGAGTGTGGATGCGTGCGCGGGGTGAGGGGAGGGGCTAATTTGAGGGTCTAGGCTTCGGACACCTTCTCATATATGTAACGAACACAGAAATACGGATGCCCTTAAATTCAGAATTAGAAACAGAGTGACATAAAACTTGTCCAACAAGAAAAATAGCGAAGAAAGCAAGAGAGTGAGATTAATCATCAGAAGAATATTGAGATTTAGTAAGAACGATGAAGAAATTCAGAATGCCACCTGGGTTTCGGTTCAGTCCGTCTGATACAGAATTGCTATACTACCTAAAGATGAAGGCTAAAGGGATGTCATTCCGGCCCTGGAATGATGTGATTCTTGAAAAAAATCTATATGCCGAGAATGCTGCACCATGGATGCTGTTCAATAATGATGATCCATGGCAAGTAACAAGTAAAGTTGATGCTGCTGTTGGGAAGATTTATGAGGAAAAAGTCCTTTATGTTGTTACTAAATTAGTGAAAATTGGTAGCAACAAAACTATGAGGAGTGTGGGTCCTTCGACCTGGGATAGTGCTACGGGGAAGTATAAAGTATGGAATAGTCAGGGGCAAGTTATGGGGTTCAAGAAGATATTGAATTTGAGAAGGAAAGGAATGGAAGTTATGAGCAATTGGATGATGCATGCGTACCACATATCTGGGGTTTTGTTGCAAGAAGTTAAGGATAATGACTATGTAATTTGTCGTATAAAGTGGGATTATTCAAGAAATATTTGGGTGCTGATCAAAAAGTTCAAGAAAGTGGTGGATTGAGGAAGCTGGGAAAGAGCAAAAGGATTAATCAAGAAATCCCAAATGCAAAAAGGGTTTGTAGGAGAAGAAGTAATAGTAGTGTGTTGACCAATGATGGAGTTTTAATTGCAAAAACCGAAGCCTATTGTGGAGAAAATGATGAATATGGAATCTTGAATAAGGAAAATCAAGATTTGATCAAAAAAGTTCAATTGGAGAAATGGTTTGTAGCAGTGGGAGGGATACTGTAGTGGTGAATGAAGGAGAGTTGATAACTGAAAGATCATTGTTTCTAGAAGCTGAAGCTCAAAAAACAAAAGCACATTATGAAAGAAACGATGAATGTCAAATTCTTCTAAAGAGAAATTAGTATTTGATTAGGAAAGTCCAACTGGAAAAATGGTTTGTAAAGGGGGCAGCAATAGTATTCTGGTGATCGACGAGGGGAATGTGATGGAAGAAGTTTCATTGATTTTGGAAACTAAAGTTCTAGACAATAATGTTGAATTGGAAAGTTTGAGCATGGTAAGATCAAGATTTAATCAAGAAAACTCAATTGGAATAGGGGTTTCTGATAGTAACAGTAGCAGTAGCACCAACATCAATAGCAGTGGGGCAAATTTGGCTGATTTGGGCTGTTCCCATGTCACAAATCGAAACAATGGTGTAGAATCTGATATTATGCAATAGGTGCTAGAGGATAATTTCTATCTTGATCTTACTTCAATTGAACTTGATTTTACTTCATTTGAACGAGTGTTTTAAGGACTAGACATTAGAAAGTATTAAACTTGCCATATAACCTATTTTGGTAATAGTTATTTGGTTGCATTTTGCGTGAACTACTTTGTTGTTCAGAACATTTATGTTTTAACAATCAACATGTAGGAATGATTTGTTAGACATAAAGAGCATGATCTTTAGTATGATTTGTCAATTAAAATTAAGAAATAAATTTTAGATTGACATACCTTTTGACATTGAAGACATTTTGGAGAAGAATTCCACAACTCTTTATCACCAAGGTTGTAAACTATATCTTTATGCTATCTAACCTTCTCTCACCTAACTATCTGTTATGTTATTTTAGTGATGGGTAAAAATAACGTATGTTAGAGTGGTGAGAGGGAGCAGGAGCCCTAGAGCATTTATAGAGTCATAATCTCTCCCATCATGAGATAATGATAGACTCTAATATTCTTATCGTACTTTATTTGTTAACTATAATGATAATGTACAGTTTAATAATTACTGTAACTATCAAATAAAATATTACAATAAATATCATATAATACATCCACATACAACGAATATAAGACTCCCTATTTCATCCAGTCATCTATTCTCATTAGAATTCTGTAATTAGTTATTCATATTTATGCATACAGTTACTTATCCTTCTAATTAATGGGAGTTATCTTAATAATATTATATGTGATCATGTAGGTCACATAAATATTTTAACATTCTCCCACTTGGACAAATGATCACATAAATAATAACCGTATAGAATCAAATAAATAAAGTAGAGTGGCCATAACATTTAATTATGTTTATCCTACACCGACATTAGAATGAATCATGGTGGTTATATATCAATTTGAATATATTTCCTTCCATGTGTCACAATTCTAATAACTTAATGTAGATAAACCTAATGAGAAAAAAATGGACAACAACTTTGATATCCATTTAATGGTCCAAATAATAATCCTGTGCATAATTACCATGATAACGTGCACAAACAACAGGATTTAATATTTTATACTTATATGTCTAAATATCAAAAATGGCAAAACCCCATTGAACTTATATGTTCACAAAATCTTTTGGCACCAATATTTCATTAATGGGTATGCTCAAATGGACACCTTAAATTTGACATATTTTATAGAACAATGTAATATATAATTCACTTTAATGTACTTAAATCTATTAAAGCACTTACTGTTCTATAAAGATACAATAGTAGAAAGTCTCAACAAAACATAATGGACTTAATTATCCACAAATAGTTAGAAATATAATAGCAACTATACAATAAATTAATGAGTTCTTTATCAGTCATGTGATCGTAACAACAACTTAGCTGGCATTCTTAAGTTGTAACATTAATGATCATAATTCAAATCTAACGAACTCAACATCATTAATATTCTAACTTTATGTCAATTTACTCAATTCAACTCCCACTTTTCCTTATATACTTTAATAAACGTGCCAAAATTGAAAGGCCAATAGTACAAAATCGACAAAATATAGGCCGAACAACAAGTACCTAATTACAGTATTCCAACATCGATATAACTTGCAATTATTTCAAAATATAATATACAATATTACAATTTTAGATTCTAAAAAAAAAAACTCTTTAGTGAAGTTTAGATCAGATAGTTCAAAACATTCATTTTCTATCTCTATTAATACCAAATACATGAAAAGGTATTACATATATCCTTCACTTAATAGTTTTAGATAAGAATTGCTTATTATCCAAAATATGAAAGAAATTATTATCTATATACAAACCAAATACAAGTTATTCCCACTACTCTTAATGTATAATGATTTACTAATATCATTCTTCTTAAAACAATATGAAGAATATATTAGAAAAAATAAATCATTAATGGGATATTAATTTGGTTTATATAAAGATTTAATATCACTTGTAATAAATAGGCCATACTCTCTTTTACACGAACATAAGGTAGACATTTATTATTGAGATATATAAATCACATCTACTTTAACGTAGCTCCAAACATAATGAACTACAAGTGTTACAACCAATATCAGTAAAAACTCTTATTAACATTATAAGAGATTTACTATATTTGTACTCTTTTAACTTGAATAAGTCACCAACAAGTATATCATTATATCATTTAACATTACCATTATATCTTAATAATCCTGATAGACTTTGCATTATTGGCAGTGTTAAACAACATCTTCTATTGTAGCACCAAACTTAAATGTAGTTGTGAAAATAACTATATAACAATTAAGTCTAAAAACACACATAAACTCTTGAATTGATAAACATATATATTAGCAAGTTTACTTGAATTGAGAATTTCCTGACTCCCACTATTTCCTTAATAATTTGATTAGTGGATTTATAATAGAATATTCTTTATATGATTTCTCAACTAGAGTCATGTTGAGACAATTGCTGAAATTTTAAATTTCTCTTAAAAAGCAATTAATCTTTATAACATACTGGTAATGTGCACGATTCACCTTACCTTTCAACTCCATTATTTGAGTCAAATCACTTATTCTATTTTCTCAAAATCAAGTATTTCTAATATAAAGCACTTTTGCAACATATGGCAGTATAATCTATGAAAATAATTATTTTTTTAGTGCATTTAGTTTCTTTAGGAATTGATTACATATTCCCACATAGGTTAAAACATCTATATGTTTTTTATTTTAGCTTCCTTAAGTGTTGATAATGTATACCCACGTAAGCTGAAATATCTATCGAATCCATGACATAAATGAAATTCTCAACAATAATAGATAGACATACTGAAAACATATACAATGATATTTTCAAAATTTCACTGTACAAGAGTAAAGAAAAATTCAAACTACTATTTATTATGTTCAGAAATGTTCATTTCTTGATAGAAGTACATAACTCAAATTTTGTCAATTAAAAATTGTATATTCTTTATCAATGCCATCTACCAAGAATTATACACATAGGACATTCAAATTATCCCATTATAACTTTATTTTCTGTTTTTTATACGTTTATATCTTTATCTCTTATACAAATACTTTTGAATACAAGAACAAAGACATTAACTTTGAATGATTATCAGAAATAAGATAAATAAATATCTTTAACCACTTCAACTTGGCAGAAAATAATTCACAAATCACGTATTATGACTACTAATAGAGTAAATTCTTTTCGCCATCCATAACAATCTAACTAGTCTACTTTCTGTAATGTAGTCTAAACATATGCCATGATAAAATTTAAAATCATTGAGTCTTTTATTTTGTCTAAATACATTTATGGAGACATATTCCAATCTCCTATGGCAAACTTAATAAGTTTTCATGAATAACACACTTAATGCCAACATTGTTACATAAGACAAATGGAGTTTTGTTTATTTGAAAAATTAGAAATATAAATTTATTATTTTAAAACTCTGTTTGAATAATCAATATTAAAATTATATTCAATAGTTTAAAATAAGCGAATTCTAGATTGCGACAAAATATATTTTGAAAGAAACTTTCTATTATGGGTAAAAACACTTCACTTGTATATTCATAAAGGCATCGTTTTGTATAATAGATGCGTTGCCTTAATCAAATATATTTCTTTTCTCTTTTGAAACTAAACATACATTGACAATATGAATTGTGTGGCGTAAGACAATTAATCTAGAGTCATTCATAGTCATAAAAATGAGGCATTTCATTAAATTCTCTCAAAATAATTACCAATCATAAAGACAAATCTTTCAATGTTTTCCTGACTAGATAAGGACGACATATATTTATTTTAATATATATTTTCATCCTTTATGAAAACATTATTGTCTCTATTTGCATTTCTATATTTATGAGATACAATATTAACTTTAAGTGTTTCGTCTTTCAAATTTAAACTACTCTTATTCTTTCACATACACATGGTTAAGTGTGAGCAATAGCCATATTCTTTAATGTATATTATAAAAGATTTTTGAATAGTTCAAAGTTTCAAAGGAGAATTTAAAACTAAATGCTCAAGAAATTATCAAAAATTCAAGCTCGAGATTTACCATAAATAAAACAGCAGCTTGCACATTAAATTCAGTAATTAATTCACACAATTTCATAGTCAAGATAAAGGGTGTTTAGTCAAAATTATACTATAATTCCACAATCACCTTTATGAAAATTTTGACTTTAATTACTTTAAGGGTAATAACCATACATCTTTATGTGAATACAATTTTAATGAGCATATTAATTGCTCTAACTACTTGTATCCAACCATTATA